TTGACCAATTAATCACCAATTAATGCTACTGAATTCTTCTCATCCAAACATAATAACTAATAATCACTAATTACATTATCATAAAATACAAACTATTCCTTTAAATTTTAATGATCAAGTACAAAAGTGATTAAGAAATAACAAGTGAAAGTTGTAAACAGACATTTTCCCTCCACATTAAGGCTCAAGCATTCTTCAATTGGCCAAGTGCAATCATAGAATCACCTGCAAGAGGAACGAAATCAGCTTTAATATTTTCTAAATAAAGAGAATGCATTTTGTTTTCAGCAAATGTCATTGTAGAAAAATAAAATAAACACATAAATAATATGATACAGTGAATGATTCCATAGGATTCTTTATAAAGAAATAAAAAAGAATATGTGGTGGGTATAGCTCAGAACTTTGACATCCTAAATTCCCAACTGTTGGAGTAGGTGCCCTAGAGCCAATCAATTATTGTATAATTGACTCTTTGTAATAATGTTCATTAATCAATAAACGGCATTTTATTCTATATCGCGTAAATCATTATTAGTGCAATATGTATTGATATATGTCCTTAGAATGGTAGAACCGTGACGAGGGTATCAAGTGTTTCAAATCTTGATAGTGAGAACCCTATGAGCACATATGGTGGCCATTCTAGAAACGTCCGTAGCCCCAGTATTATTCTGAAGTAAGGGCACAGATAATACGGNGATTTTTCCTTTGAAAAATAAAACACACAGCAGCCCCCTTTTTTGGAATACACTCCCACGGCAGAAAATTGGTTTAGCCTGAATCAATTTCAATTGATTTCTTTTCTTCTGAATCTTGAAGCCAAAGAGGATCTAGCAAATCCCTCTTTGGTTTTTTTTGAGATTGTCTTCGTGTGGACTACGTGGGTTCGATCCTACACTTGGATCGGTAGCAAAACGTTCAAAGACACTCGTGGTGGAGCCTCCAAACGTGTGTATGGTTTCTAAACACAGATTATTAATTTATGCAGATTCTTGCTTTGATAAAATTGTAAAATTATACCCTTGATCTTGGCTCATGTAAACGATCTCTACATTAATTTTGTTTTGTTTCCGCTGCGTATACGGGACCGTTTACTAACACCAACTTGTATCTTTTTCTTTTTTATCTTTTCCAGATAGACCAACTGTTGTAGACTAATTTCTAATTGCTAGTGTGTATTCTAATTTCTGATTGCTTAATGCTTATAGCAGTGCGGCTGCATTTTGGCTTGTGTATCTATGCAAAGATGGACAGATAGATTAGTCTCGTGTTTTCAAAGCATCTTCATCTAAAAATAATTGCTTTTCTGGGTTTAAATTATAGTATCGGGAATCCTAATGTGGTTACAAACAACTTTAGAGTTTAGACCATTGCTTATTTCCACCATAATATGACTTCAATTACCTACTACTGAAAAAGGAGTCTTACTGAAAAGGGCAACAAAAAGAAGCCTTAGTGCTTCCTGGCTACAAGAAACTATAAACCAACAGAAGTTATGCAAATTTCCTGCACAGGGTCCTCTGTTTTCCCACAAATGTGTCAAGATATGATAAATGCCCATTCATAATTTGCAGGAAAAAAAAAAAGACTAATTAAAGTCTTTAACATTTACTCGACCAAAAANATATACCCTCTATAATTCTATTGGATGTTCAATACCCCACAATCAGACAATATCAGACACTTTTCATCTACTTCAACCTTGGGTTGCAAAAAGGTATCAATAACCTCTAATCATTGTTTTAAAACCCGGATCAGAGGATAATCTGTTTTGCTGTTTGGGTCACGGGTCAACCAGTTGGTTGGATCGGTGACGTCAGCAATAATTTAATTTTTTAAAAATTACATATTAATCCCTTATATTTTAATATTTACAAAAATATCCCTCAAAAATTTCAAGTTAGTCCCTAAAATTTTTATTTATTTTAAAATACCCCAAAAAATTTACCAATTTATCCCTAAACTTTTGATTTATCTCCAAAACACCCCTAAAATAACAAATTTGTCCCTATAAATTTGAAATATTACAAATACCCCCTAAACCCTGAACTAGACCGAAAAAGCTGCTTGGTCCCAATCAAACCGGTCCGGGTTTTAATACAGAGCCTCTAATAGTAGTCCCATGTTTCATAAAAAACATCAAAATTCTTCAAGTTGCAACATCTTTATTTAAAAATGGGTAACTTACCCTTTCATCCTTAAGGTTTGAAGTATATTGCATTTACCTCCAATATTATGGGATATGAACAGTTTAATCTAGTCATATGAGACTTTTTAATAAAAAGTCTGGATTAGCCTTGTTGTCTTATTTACATGTTATTAGAAAGTGAAGAAAACGTATATATAAAAGTAAATGTGCTAAAAATGGTTCCTATTATATATATAATTAATACTCTTATGAAAAATTAATTTTTTTTTTCTTTTAGATGTATATATATTACTTGTTTTTAATTATATTTTTTTCATTTATAATAACATGTGTATAAGACAATAGGGGTATTATAAACTTTTTATTGAAAAGTTTCACCTGATTGAACTAAACTGTATTTTTTCTTTTGTTAAGTTTTGAACTAAACTGTTCATATCACATTGTACTGGAGATTAGTACAATATATTTAAAACCTTAAGGATGAAAGTACAAATATCACATTAAAAATTAACCCAAACAACCAATATTAACTAACCATCTATTAAAAAAAAAAAAAAAACCTAATTAACTGTTTCTTGCACACAAAATCGAATTAAGCATCTGTTTATAACTTTAGTTTTCAAATTCTTTAATGGAGGCAAGAATTAGTCTAACTTTGAAGAAGATGGGTGAATGGGTCAAGGTTTATTTATCAATTAGGGCATTTTCGTTCTCCAAAATTGTGTAAAATACCCTTTTGCTTTTCAACTCCACCCCTAAAATAGCATTATTTAATATAATTTCTCTTTTTTTCTCAGTAAATATTATTTGACTAAACTATTAAGAAATTTATTTTTAATATATTCATATTTTAGTGGAATTGTTTTTCTATATATTCTCAACACGGTACCCATTTCAATTATCTTTCACGTATAATTGTTTTCTTGTGTCAAGCTAACAATTATATTTTTTAATTCAATTATTTTGTTACTTTTGGATAAATTATTTTGTATTTGTGACTACCTAAAAATAAGTGTTGCATTTACAATAAAACTTAATTTTTTTTTTTAATAATGTCGTTTTACTAAGCCATGTCAATAATTATATTCGTTTATGATTTTTTTTCCCTTTATATTTTTGCACTATATAGCTTATCAAATAGAAAAAAAAGTTTAGATTAAATAAAGTGTATAATAATTCACCGTAAGTTCAATATGTACAAAATTAACAAAAAATGTTTCACAAATTTATTTTATTTTATTTATTAAAAAAAAAAATGAATCTCATTTCTAAAATTTAAAATCCGAAGCCCAGTGGCCCGGCTTCGGGTGATATCATTGAGCCGCGTCGGTTTTGTTGTTTTAGATAAGTCTGTAACCCTAAACCCTAAAAATATCAATTGGGGTTTTGCACACTTCGATGCAATTTCGAGGTTTCTTTCTTTCACCGGTGAGTCACGAAAATCCTTACTATTGGTTTTCTTTTTTTTTTTTTCGTTACTTGGTTTTGATTCATTGTTGATATTTTCATCCTAAAGTTATTATTTTTATGCATTTCTGTTCACTATTGTATTTGTTTTTGTTGTAAGGTTTATTTGATTTATTGTGAGAAAAGATGGTGAGGCCTTATACGATGAAAGGGCATAAGAGGANTAGTAATTTACTATACTATTACATTACTTAATTAAACGATTAAAAATTTAATTAATTATAACATTACTTTATATATTTGTAATATGATTACTTAATCAATTATAACATTCCATTATAAACATTAGTATATTAATTAAATGATTTGAAATTTAATTAATTATAATATTAAATTATAGATTTGTAGTATGATTACTTAATTCATTATAACATTACATTATACTATTATAGTATGATCATATAATTAATATAACATTACATAATTAAATAATTACTTAATTGATTATGAGTTATGATATTATATTTTAAACATTAGTAATTACTAATTTACTACATAAACATTAGCACAATACTTAATTAAATGATAAGAAATTTAATTAATTATAACATTACCTTATAAACATTAATTAAGCATTACATTATAGTTAAATAATTACTCAATTAAATTATAATATTATTATATTACATTATATTATGATCACTTACTTAATTATAGCATTATATAGTTAAATGATTACATAATTACTTAATTAGTTATGAATTTATAACATTACATTATAAACATTAGTAATTTACTATACTATTACATTACTTAATTAAACGATTAAAAATTTAATTAATTATAACATTACTTTATATATTTGTAATATGATTACTTAATCAATTATAACATTCCATTATAAACATTAGTATATTAATTAAATGATTTGAAATTTAATTAATTATAATATTAAATTATAGATTTATAGTATGATTACTTAATTCATTATAACATTACATTATACTATTATAGTATGATCATATAATTAATATAACATTACATAATTAAATGATTACTTAATTGATTATGACATTATATTATAAACATTAGTAATTAATTTACTAATTTACACAATACTTAATTAAATGATTAGAATTTTATTAATTATAACATTACATTATAAATTTATGGTATGATTACTTAATTAATTATAACATTTTATTATAAACAATATTACAATACTTAATTAAATGATTAACAATTTAATTAATTATAATATTACGTTATAATTAAACCCTAAACCCAAATAGTATATTTGTTAGGGGTGCATTTGTAAACTTTTAAGGTATTTTTGTCATTTTTTAACTAATAGGGGGGTAATTGATTTTTTACAGGGTACCTCGGAAAGGAACCGGAACCTGCATTTTAGGTTCCGGTTCCTTGAATTGAAGAACCTGCACTGTGCGGTTCCGGTTTCGGTTCCTTTTTTTGGGAACCTGTACTGTACGGTTCCGGTTCCGGTTCCCCCAGAAAATGGAGGGTACCCAGAACCGCTCACCCCTAAGTATAACTGCTGCTGGTAAGCGTGAGAAACTATTGCGTGTGATCAAGAATCCTGTTACTCGGTATTTACCTGTAAACTCTCAAAAGATAGGTAAGCTTAAATGTGCCTAGTCATTACATCTTATATGTTGCTATTGGAAATACTAGAGGTTGTTTGCTTGCATTACAGGTTTCTCATATAGTTCAGAAAAATGGGTTAAGATGAGGAATCATGTGGCCACTATCAGCGATGATATGGACCTTGTTTTTGTGGTATGCTCGGAAGTAACATTTGTTTAATACACATTATACTGTACCTTTTGCTTTCGTGTCTTTATTTTGTCTGATGTAAACTTGTATTCTTTATGATCTAATATCATATGCATTTTCAGGTTGGCGCAATGGCCAATGGGAAGATTGAGATCAATTACACAGATGACTCAATAGCTAGTAAGTTTTTGGTGTATCATTTATTCCCTGATTAAAAACAATAATACTAAACTCACTAATCCCTCTTACTAACCCCGTGTGGGAGTTTGTGATTGACTTGGTTAGATGGAACCCATTATTGGACAGGTGGGATCCATGTGAATTGACGAATTGTGAACTGACATGTGGTGTTAGTGAGAGAAAGTTAGTGAGAAGTGTTAATGAGTGTAGTGTTACTCACTTAAAAATGCTTCTGTTTTGTTTTTCTTCAGAAGTCCTGGAGTGAATATACATCTTACCATGCATATTATAATGTCTGGTTCAATCTGCATTTTCTTCTTTCCTCTTTCTGAAACTATTTAGAATTGGAGCTAAGCCTCTTATTTGTTATAAAATTTCTTCTTTGTCAATGGTTTTGGACATCCTCCAGTTGAAACTCTTAACTTCTTAGAGAAGCTGAGTTGAAAATAACTAATAGCCAAACTTTTTTGCTTTCTGTTTTAATTTGAAATATCCAAATTATATTAAAAAAAACCATTTTGTATTTGGAGCTAATAATGTGGTGTTCTCTTTATTATTATTTTTGTTTCTCCAGTTTCTGGCTGTCCAATAAGTGTTGCCCACTCCATCATAAGAATTTGTGAGGCTCTGGAAGATAAGTGTGATATATTGTAAGAGTCAATTTAACTGTCCCAGAGGGATTAATTCTATATTTGAGTAAATTTATTGTTGTAGTGATCATGTAAACTACATAATATTGGGCTTCATGATATTTAGTTAAGTTTCACTTTTATTGTGCCACAAATGCTTATATTGAGTCACCATGTTAAGTATTGCATATAAATTTTTACATATATAGTGATCTAATTTTCATTAATAGTTAATTGTTAATGTTTTACATATAAATTTTATTTACAAATTCTTTTATATGATGTGTTGGAATATTAATTCTCAAATCATGTAGTCATTACTCTTCTATCATAGTATTATTCTTATTTTATTTATTAAATATTTTTTGAGTTAATTATATCTTTTTTATTTATTTTGTATTATGTTAATATTTATTACATAATTTTAGATATATATATTGTATCCCGTTAGTATCAAATTGTCAGGCTCTCATTTTTGGTCTTTAGGCATGGTATTTTGTCTTTGACATTTAATAATATTTCTAACCATTTTCAGGAATAGAAGAAAAAAATATCTATTGACTTGTTGAATATTGGAAGCATCCAAGTTTGCTTAGTGCCGATCATCTTTTAGGGAAGTCAAAAGGAAATGAATTATCGTGGAAGGGATGAACCAGCAAATACAATACAAATATAAGGGTAGGGAAATAGGTTTGATTAAGTGCAAGGGTGTGACGCCTATATATCGTGGCGCATATCATATGAAACTACTAAATGGATTGCAACAAGAGAGGTAAGTATATAATGTATTAAATTATTGGTTTTATATTAATTTTAATTAACATTATATTATCGAGTGTGTTGTTAGTGTCTGTTTGCATGTTATCCAACATGGAGTGGGGTAACTTTAGGTCATCACACCTTTCACTAATTCACTATGATCATGATTATGTGTGCTAATCTTAGATCTAAGTTATCTAAGATTCATAGAAATATTAAATTATATCATCGTGGTAAGATAGAGCAAGCTTGATAGCATCAAAGTGCACATGAGAGTATCCTTCACGGATCCGGGCAATGGATTCTTGAGGGATTTCCAGAGTAATATATTGTTCTTGAGTTGTGGTTGGAATTTGACATTTATCAAAAGTACTAGTCTAGACATACTCTTTTACTGGCTTTCTGAAAGGTCTAACAAGAGTTTTAAAGGTTTTAGACAAAGACAAAGAAGACTTAGAAATGACTGTATAAGGATTTACAATTGAAGGGATATCTTGGATATCTTTACTTTTTGGGATATAAGATATTTTATACAAACTATTTACTTTAAAAGAAGATCTAGATAAGTTAGTATTTATTGGAGACGTGGATAAAGCTAAAAAAGATTCTATAAGTGTGAGTTCAACCTCTTGGATGTGTAATACAACCTCAAATAGCAAGAATAGCTCAAGACCCGTAACAAATTAAGAACATAAAACCTCCTTTGTGGTCTGACAAGCAAACTAATGCAGTTAAGAGTCTTAAACGCAAATTCTTTCATACACAACCATTGAAGATTCCCTCTTTTGGGAAACGAATTCTTCAGACGAATGCTAGTGACACTCATTGGGGTGTAGTGCTTTTTGAACAAGATGATGACAAAGTACGACATTTGTGTGGATACTAGAGTGGACAGTTCTAATCGCATCAACAACATTCTCTCTTGCACATTTCTTTCATGTTTCCTTCATACTTTTAAACTTGCCTTCAACCTCAAGGGTGTAATAATATTCTGATAATGGTAAGAATAGCAAAAGATCTCATATATTATTTTCATTTGTGTTCCTAATGTGTTTTTATTTTAACTAGCCCTTTTAGATGATATTAGAAGATGCGTGGTTGTAAGTGTGTGGAATAAGAGAAGGGCCTTAACCATAGATTCGACCGATCGTTGTGTTGATCGGCTTCCATGTAGGTTGGCTATCATAGTTTCTCACATGCATAAACTCGCTCTATTAGACATCTGATTTGTCCAATATTAGCACGCTTGCATAGGAATGACACATATGACTTTGAATGTTGGATCAATCATTATGACATTGTTTCCTAATTTCAATATATCTCTCTTTGACGTTCATTGCTCCAAACTCTTAAAGTTAAACTATAGATTGTCGGTGTAGATTTGAATCCAGGAAGTATTGTAACTACTTTGTATTACTAGATGGTTTGGTGAATCCAAGACCGTGCTCTTGATCTCGCTATTCTTATGATTATTGATGCTAATCAACACAACGATTGGTCGAATTTATGGTTAAGACACTCCTCTTATCCCACACACACTTGCACCCACACATCTTCTAACATTATCGAAAAGGGCTAGTAAAAATAAAAACACATTATGAACACAAATGAAAATAATATATGACATCTTTTGTTATTCTTACCATTATCAGAATATTACACTCTTGAAGTTGAATGAATGTTTAAAAGTATGAAGCAAACATGAAAGAAATGTGCAAGAGAGAAATATACAAGAGAGAAATGTATGCAAGATAGAAATGTAAAAGATTTTTCACAAAAGAACAATGTAAGAGATCTTAACTTTTTCACAATGCCTCATCTTTCAACGAGAAGAGAAGTCTCTTTATTTATAGAGTAATACAAGACATTTCATTTAATACACATTAAAGAGATATTTAATGCATAGCTTGATATATTTGGCTTTTTGATTTTTTTTTTTTTTTTTTTAACCTTACCTGCAATATTTGACTTTTGTATCTTACATAGGAAATATTGCACTTGAGTTGGCAAACTGCCATATAGTCCACGTCTATTTTACAGATAAATATAAAGGACAAACATTTATTTTAAAGACGCGTAGAGCTTTAATCATCTGATAAGTTTGTAACGTGTCACGAGTCTTCATCTTGGAAATCGAGACAACCCATTGCTTGAATTCAATCAGCATAAATTTGTTGAGAAGATGAATCTAGATAAGTATCTAGAGAAATGTCTAGAGACTAAGATAACTGCCCTACAGAGGTACTTGGTGCATGCATGTATTGTTGTTGTTTGGATTTATGAAGATAATAATCACGAGACTACTGAAGCTCTTTTTCTTGCACAATATCTGGCTGAGAATCTGGGTACCACCATTCTAGATAGTCTAAAGTGACATTCAATTGAGCAATGATGGAACTTATGCATGTTTGTTTGACCTGGAGTAATTTCTCAGTGTAGGCTAGAGGAAAGAGTTCTCACAGAGCATCATCGCGAAAAGATGATCATATCTCATCTGGAATTGTCTGATTTTTCTCAAAAAGAATTTTCTGAATTAATCTAATCTCTAAGAGGATGTTCAAACATATTATGGATGAGATCATATGGATAAGACTGATGAAATATAACTTGATGTTGTGAAAAACATAGCCTATCAGATCTGATAGAGTGGTGTTTATGAAAAAACATGTTAGACCATGCCATTTTGGTGGACATGAGACCTCTGTAACAAGCAAATTGAAGAGCAAACACAGATTTCCATTTTTTCAGGGTTTTGAATCATTTGAGAAAAGTCATCAAAGAGTATAACTTAGAGGTTCAGGATGATTGATACTGGAAAATCATTTTCAACATATAATGGATTGGGAATTGAATTGCAATGTGGTACTAGTGTAACGTATACCGAAAGAACCATTATAATTCTAGAAATATGATGTCTGGACCGGGAGGTAAACAAAATATTTTTTAAAATGAGTAATTTGGATGGACACCTAACATATCATACATGGATTGTTCATATTTTTCAATGCATTGGATCTGATAAAAAAAACATGAGAGTGGTGACATTTTTATTAATGGTACGAGTTCGAACAAGGTCATGAAATTGGGAGATGTGTCCAGCATATGATTTGGTGAAGAAGAGAATGAACAAGAATTGGATTGGGTCAGTGGTTGATACATGAAACAAGGGAGTGGTTTTGACCTAGGGTTCATGAAACAAACTTGTTTAGCTTTAGGTCTAGATAAATAATCTGCAATGGTATTGGTGTGACCCTTTATGTGTTGTGCTCAATTAAATGCTATTTCAGACTATCTAGAATGGTGGTACCCAGATTCTCAGCCAGATATTGTGTAGGAAGAAAAGCTTTAGATATCTTCATAAATCCAAGCGACAACAATACATGCATGCATCAAGTACCTCTGCAAAGCAGCCATCTCATTCTCTAGACATTTCTCCAGATACTCATCCAGATTCATCTTCTCGACAAATTCCTACTGATTGGATTCAAACAATAGGTTGTCTAGATTTTCAAGATGAAGACTTGTGACACGTTACAAACTTGTCAGATAATTAAAGCTCTACATGTCTTCAAAATAAATGTTTATGTCCTTTATGTTTATCTGTAAAATAGACGTGGACTATATGGCAGTTTGCCAACTCAAGTGTAATATCTTCAGTGTAAGATACAAGAGTCAAATATTGTAGGCAAGATTAAATTTTTTTTTCCAAAAAGTCAAATATGTCAAGCTTTGTATTAAATATCTTTTTAATGTGTATTAAATGAGATGTCTTGTATTACTCTATAAATAGAGGGACTCGTCTTTCCATTGGAAGAGGAGGCATTGTGAAAAAGCTAAGATCTCTTACATTGTTCTCTTGTGAAAAAACTTTTACATTTCTATCTTGCATACATTTCTCTCTTGTATATTTTTTCTCTTTCATATTTCCTTCATACTTTTAAACCTTTAACCTCAATAGTGTAATATTCTGATAATGGTAAAAGATCTTTTATATTATTTTCATTTATGTTTTTAATGTGTTTTTATTTTCACTAGCCATTTTAGATGATGTTAGAAGATGTGTGGGTGTAAGTATGTGTGAGATAAGATGAGGGCCTTGACCATAGATTCAACTGATCGTTGTGTTGATTGACTTCCGTGTAGGTCGGCTATCATAGTTTTTCACATGCATAAACTCTATAATAATCTTCTAGCACCATCTCTGATGTGTAGTAACCCTTTTAAGAGGAGGCATTTGACCATAGATCCGACTGATCACATTTTTATGCACATATCTTTCCTAACCATTCTCCCATTTGAAAACATGTCAAATGATTAATAATAACCTTTCTTGTAATATATTAAATGCTCATGACACAACTATTTCCATTAATTGTCATTAAACTTCAATTTTCTATAATTCACATATAAATCCATCAATTGTAAATTATAGCTTCAAACCAAGTTCAATTTCTTTTGTGTGACAAGAAGTAAGGTTTCCTAATACTAAACCTAGAAACTCAATTCTTATTTCATATTAAAGGGAGGTTTCCATTACCTTGTGTGAAGAAACCACTCTTTTGCAAATATTCTACTCCATATCTCCATTTGACTCTTTATCCTAACATAATTCATAAGAAATTTAGGGTGTGTTTGTTTTATTATTTTGGGTAGGATTTTTGAAAAAGTTGAGGTAGGTGATTATTACGAGGTATGATTTGAAAATTAACAAAAAGACTCTCTAGATTTATTAATTTAGCTAAATACTCTTATCATAAAACATTGAACATTAACAAAAACATCTTCATCCACCCATTAAATGTCGGCAGCAGGCCACCACTCTCGGAGGGTGGTCAGCAATAGTTGTCATAATGGCACACGACCGGCTGGATTTGGCTGATAGTGCCCAAATATGGCCTTTTATGGCTAGTTTTATGCCCAGATTTAGTCGTTGACGGCTAGATCTGGCCATGTTTGGTCGTCAACAACGGCCATATCTTTGCCATCAACAGCCAGATCTTTGGCTATAGATATGACCTTTTTCAGCTAGATCCACGGTGAATCTGGTCGGATAGCGCTAGATCGGTGTACCACCGACCATATTTAACTGGTAATGCTCCATTACGCCAGATTTCGGTCACCTTCCGACAGTGGTGGCTAGAATTTGACAAATGTGGGTGGGTGGGTGTTTTTGTCAATTTCTAAATTTTTTTGGGTATTTAGTTAAATTAACAAACTTAAGGGTTTAAAAATAGTTGAATAAAATAGTCAGAATAGGGAAAAAAAAAATATGTATTTTGGGTAGGATATGGTAGAAATATTAAAACAAGCACAACCTTAATAACTTGAAATACATAATAATTATATAAGATATGGAGTTGAAATTTACCTCCAAATATTCTTAATAAGGGAAAAAATACAAAACACTTGAAAGATTTCAACTAAAAAGCTTATAGTTTCAATGAATGAAGTAAAATCTATGGAGAAATGTTGAAGAAGATGATGGAATAATTGAGATGTGTTGAAGAAGATTGATGGAAAGTGGTAAAAAAAATGGGTTGGTTGACTTATATAAGCTAAAATCAAGATTTTTTAGCAAAATTCATTCATTTATCTTTTGCTTTTAATTACTTATGGATTATAAAGCAAATTGGAGTGATATAATTCAATTAATGGATTTTTTCTATAATAACAATTATCAGGTTACTATCCAGATAACACCACATGAAGCAATATATGGGAGAAAGTGCATATCACCTTCGTATTGGGATGAAGTATGAGAGAAGTCTTTGGTTCAAACCTTAGGACTAGAGATGACTCAAAAGATAATTGAAGATATCAGGTTAATTAGAGAGAGAATGAAACAAGCCCAAGATCACCAAAAGAATTATGCAAACTTGAAGAGAAAGGAAGTGTAATTTCAAGTGGGGGACAAAGTGTTTGTTAAAATTGGCCCACACAAACATGTTAGGAGATTTGGCAAAGAAGTAAAGTTTGTTGTGCAATACATTGGTCCTTTTAAAGTGCTAAAAAGGATTGGGAAAGTAGCTTACAAACTTGCATTACCATTGAGCATGGAACAAGTGCATAATGTTTTTCATGTGTCCTTGTTACGCAAGTACATAAATGATCCTTCTCATGTATTACAGGCAGAAGAAGTGGAACTGAAGGAGAATTTGATTTATAAGGAGTGTCCAGTCCAAATATTGGATAGGAAGATTAAAGAGTTTCAAAATAAAGTATTCCACTCATCAATGTTCTTTAGAGAAATCACAAGGTCGAAGAAGCTACTTGGGAAGTGGAGCAAGACATGAGAGACTGCTACCCGAGTTATTTGTTTAATTTCGAGGACGAAATTCCTATAAGGAGAGGAGAAATGTAAACTCCATCGATACGTCCAAGGGTAAAATATTCTTATCACTTTTATGTGCTAAGTTAACTACTATGCACATGCTTTAGGGGTAAAGTGGTAAAAGAATTATGATATTTTGTTGGCTTGACAAGACAAGAATGAAGAAGGATTTTGGAGTAATTAAAATAAGTTGTTAAGGGCAAAAAAGAAAATGATGTTATAAGTCATTAAATGCAAAAGACAAATGAATGATTTTTGTTAAAAAAATCTTGAATTTAGCTTGTATAAGTCGATCAACCCATTTTTTTTTTACCATTTTCCATGATCTTCTTCAACACATCTCCATTATTTCATCTTCTTTAACAATTCTCCATAGATTTTACTTACTCCATTGAAACTTCAAGCTTTTTAGTTGAAATTTTTTAAGTGTTTTGTATTTATTCCCTTATTAAGAATATTTGAGGGTAAATTTCAACTTCTTATCTTATATGACTATTATGTATTTCAAGTTATTAAATTTCTTATTAATTATGTTAGGATAAAAAGTCAATTGCAGATAAGGAGGAGGAAATTTGTAAAAGAGTGTGATTTTTTCACACAAGGTAAGGAAAACCTCCTTTTAATATAAAATAAGAATTAGGTTTCTAGGTTTAGTATTAGGGAACTTTAATTCTTATCACACAAAAGAAATTGAGTTTGGTTTGATGTTATAATTTGCAATTGATAGATTTATATGTGAATTGTAGAAAATTGAAGTTTGATGGCAATTAATGGAAATAATTTTGTTATGAGCATTTAACATATTACAAAGGGAGGTTATTATTGATCATTTGACATATTTTCACAACTGAGAATGGTTAGGAAATGTTAAAGAGTAAGTGGAGGTAAACAAGTATGAAAAAACCTTAAAAAAAGGCATGTCACCATGGTTGCCTATGTCATATCCGTGGCCTTCTAAGCGATTTTCAAACATCTTACCTATCGAAATGGGTTGAGGCCTAAATATAAAAGTTATAGACTTTTCTTTAAGCTTTAAAACGAGACCAAAATCATATCAATCCGATGTGTATAACTTGAGATATGCCTTCTTGAATATGATATGTGCAACATGACTATCTCAAAAGTGCTTCCTATTTTTTAATTTAATTTTTTTAGCCTAATAATCTATGATTGATTCCAAGTATCAAAATGATGTTTAAAGAGTTTTGAAGCATGTTTGAACAAGTGATTATGGTGATTATTTTAACGATTGTATAAACATTTATATTTTATGTAATGAATGACCATAGAAAATATATATAAAGAATATATATATATGTTATGCCTTACCTAAATATGAGCTTGTTTATGTATAAATAAGCATAAGTATGGTAAGTTTTCCATGAGTTTGTTATGCATCGATGAGATAGACATGATGTAATGATACATTCATGTATGGAGATTGTATGATTTTAAGAATCTAGCATGTCAAGCATATTAATGATTAAAGAAGGGAGACTTGATCATAAGTTTGAGCTAAATGCTTTCAAAGTACATAGACATGCATTTTCATGAATAAAGTGATTGTTTTAAGTTTTATGGAAGTTGTAGTCATGTTATGGGGAACCTGAGCTAACTCATGCACATACCTACGCAAGAAAGAAATGAACAGTAAATAGCATGCATGACCATGGGAACTATGTTATAAGTTAAGGTTAGCTCATTGGCCAAAGTTTCTGTAATACATGCCTCAACTTAGTCTAATAAGCAGATAGTAAAGAGTTTTAAAGAAAATTACATTTACACATGCATGACATTAAAGTGCCTCGTTCATGATACATTAAAGGAAAAGTATTACATGAATTATGTTATAGGTTATGATATGATTAACATATATATATATATATATCATGTTATGTTATTAATGATCGATTTCCTTACTTAGTGATTAGCACTCATTTCTCAGATTGACATCTTTGTGGGTAATAGTTAAAGCGGCAATGGTGAGCAGCAGTCAAGGAAGCTTGGGGGCATGCATGATAACTTTTTGTTGTAAAAAATTATAATGTTATATAATGGATGTTTATTTTGGATTGATGTATATAGTTTGATGCATACAATCTAAGTTTTACTAAATAATGAATATATTTTGCTCATAAATTATGGGAGATATTTTATATTTGTTTCTGCTGTTGAACTATTGTTAAACAATCGATGTAGTTGTTTTCTTTAAACTATATTTATCATATATAGTAATGTAAATGACAGGAGAAATTTTTATTTATTTATTTTCATATAATACATGTTTGTAAACAAGATTTAGGTTCTAAATTACACAACCTTCTAAACATGAATCCTCTAAGTTTTCATCGTAATAGAATGCTTAGGGGGTAGTCGGTTGGAGGGGGGTGTTAAAGTTGGTATCAAAATTATATCATGAATATTTTATGCACTTATTATCATTGTTTTAAAAACCGGACCGGACAGGTCGGTCAGACCGGTCAGACCGGGAACCGGCTATGACTTCGATCGGGTTTACTATATAAATCAGTAACATATTCAAATCTGCTTTGGACTGGTAACAGACTGGCTTAATAGTGTTAAACCGTCGGTCCGGCTGGACCAGGGCTTAAACCGGTCCACTAATTGAAACCTACAATAACCTTAAAACAATCGCATTCCCAAATTGCATCTTCTTTTCATTCTTTATTTCATTTCAATCGAGCTTCATCCTTCATTGATTTCGCTCCAAATTGCATCTTCTTCAACTTCAAACAAAGATCAAAGTGAAGAAACTCTAAAGTCTAAAGAAAATCGAAATTGATTCTTCTTCATTTTCTTCAACTTCAATGGCAACCGAAACTTGGACAAAACCTGTACTTCTTTGTCTTCTTCACTGATTTTGCAGGTTTATTCTCTTTTCCTTCAACTAAAATGCTTTTTTACTTTGCTCTTTATCCTAAAGTTCGTCTTCTTCTGCATTTAGTTAGCATTTTTAGTTGTTTCATTTGTTGTTCTTTACAAATATTTGATTACAGAATACTGATTACAGAAGCAGCTAAAGAGATTTTGCAAATATCTAAATATCTGAAGTTACAACTTACAAGGTCAGATGAATTTTGAGAATATGAATTAGATATTTAGATTGTTGGGTCTGGTTAGTGGTGGCTAGTTTGTGTGAATATTGCCCTTTTATCGATTTAGAAATTTAGATTGTTGGGTCTGGTGAGTGGTGGCTCATTTGTGTGAATATTGCCCTTTTATTGTTTGTTATATTGTCTATGTATGTGCTTATGTTGTTTTTGGGCATAAAGTATTCAAAGAGTTGAACTTTATTTTGCAAATGTTGTTCATTCTAGATTATATTGCAAATAATTTTGTTATTAATTATTATGTGACTTTTTTTTTTTTTTTTTGTGTGTTATTTAATTTGTAATCGAAAACAACGTGACATTGGGGCTGTTTTTTAATTTGCGGCAAAGCTCCATTCCTCGCTGGAAATCGACGACGATGACATTCCTCGCTAGAAATCGACAATAGCACAGCTCTATTTCAAAAAGTGTAAGTTTTTCATGAGTCATGACCCCTTCAATTTTTGCAGATCTAGTACTTTCCTGTTGTCAATGGGCAAAATCTAGGTTGAGAAACATCTGTAACGTTGTTCTTTAAGGAGTAGCTTAGTAGCGAATAACCCAAATTAATTTACAAATTTGTTATGAAATTGATTGTTGAAATCTAGGTTTTAAGATATTCAATTTGCTTGTATCTAACCAGGCTATTATTTCATTTATGTTTTTACTCATTTAATCTTTTGTTGATACTAGAATATTTTGCCAGTGAAAAGAATTTTCTACAATATTAAAGAGAGTTACATGAATGTACGTGTATACCAAAGAGCTCTTGCAACTGTGTTGTAAAACTTCTATTAAGCTATTCAATATTCATAAGCATTTTGCAGATGATAGTGATGGTTATGATGATGATGACAGTGATGATGATGATGAATTTTGATGCTAGTGTATGAAGCTCAATCAATATAGAGATGGATCAAAGAAAAAACACTTGTACCAAAAGTTTTGTTATTAATTATTATGTATTTTGTCATTTAATATGTAATGGATGAACACAACATCATATGTATTTTGTCATTTAATATGTAATGGATGAACACAACATCATGTTTGGATTTGGACTGTGGATTGTTGTTAAATTATGTTAGGATTGTTATTTGAAGGTTGTTAAAAAATGGAATATGAAATTCTTAGAAAAACAAGTTTTTTTTTTTTTTTTTTTTAGTGTTGACGTCAGCATGATGACGTCACCGATCCAACCGGTTGGACCAATTGACCCGTGACCCGAGCAGCAGAGCGGGTTGCCCCTCCGGTCTGGGTTTTAAAACAGTGCTTATTATACTAATTTTGCGTTGCTATAAAAAAAAAAAAAAAAAAAAAAAAGTTAATGACTTTTTCTCATCCAAATAATAGCTTAATGATACTTTCACCCATAGACTTTTAAAATACTATTTTACTATTTAAATTTATACTCCGTTTTTTATTCTGGCATTGTTGTGATCTTACACTATCATTATTTTCTTTCTTAATCATTACTCACCGAAACCCCTCCAACCCTACTCTTATCGGCTTCGTTAATCACCGACAATCGAGCGATTAGGGTTTGCATAGTTGTCTCTCCCAAATCAAATTCCAATAAATCTCAACATTCAAAATCTAACTTTCCACCACCGAAAGAATCATCGTCCTCTCGTATTCATAAGCTCAATAGTCTGAATTGAGTTTACTCTCTATTCGTCTCTAGAATATAAATTTAGATAATAAAATTATATTTTAAAAGTCTATAGTTGGGAAAGTGTCATTAAACTATTATTTGAGCAGGAAAAAGTGGTTTACTCTAAACAAAAAACTAAAATTATATATATTGTTATGCCTGGGAACATAGGGCTGACGTGGCGCCCAGTTAAGTGTGAAAGGTTAGACCTCGGGAAAAGTCTACTGTCATTCTGGCGCAGCTGCGTCGTGTGATCATGGTTGCACCCCACAGCTTGCTTCCGTCAGAATAATAGGTGCACGTCAGGCTAGCAAGGAATTGTGATGATCCCGCGTGTCCAATCCCTACGACAAATTACGTGAATTACTCTAAACGAAGGATTTGCACGGGTCATCCCACCAACTTACAGATTCAGTGATCATTATCTCAAGGCATCCCACTATAAAATGGGAGCTCCTCTCTCATTAAGGGGATTCGCACATTTTTACTCTTGACAAAACTCTCTCTCTCTCTCTCTCTCTCTCTCTCTCTCTAAAAAAGACAGTCTTTAATACCTTGTATCATCAATGTAAAGTCAGTCGTCTAAAGTGACCTGACCTTTATCATTAATAAAAACATCAGTGGACGTAGGATTTGCTTCCTTAGTATCCAAACCACTTTAAAACTCCTTTCTCACTGCATTTAGTGTCATTTTCCCTTTCCATTCATGTGTGTCTTTTGGGCCAATCCAACATTTCACATGTGCGTTTCGTTGGTGTCAAAATCACACATCAACAGTTTGGCGCTAGAAGGAGGGCTAGTTTAGTGTTCATCCTTCATCAGGAGAATCTACAACCTACCGGTCCTACAGCAACAAATGGCCCGCCAACCAAAACCTGAGCAACCCAACCAGGGCGCTGAGGGGCTCCCCCAAGTTCAGGGGGACACCTCTTCCAAAAAACCTTTAGCCCCGCAAAATGCTGCAGGAGATATCCCGTCAAGTTCACAGCTTGACCCTGTTATTAGAAGCTACCTGGAGAGGTTTGACAATACTCTCCAGACAGTCAACCGAAGGCTGGACCGCTTGGACTAAGGCGTGCCATCCAAGTCAGTTGAGGCGGTGCAATCGCCAAAATCTCTACAGGTCGCGCAAAAGCGCGGCAAAGGGAAATAGCTCGTGCCGCAAGCACTACAGCTCGTGGACGAAAAGGTAAACAAGTGGCAAAAAGCAAGCCCACGGGCTCCAAAGGGCCAGCAAATTCTAACCGCGTCCCGAGCAGAATACCAGTTTCATTGAGACTCAGTGAAAGGACGCAGCCCGAGCTGTCCCATGCCACGTCGCAAGAGCACACCCATAAAAGTGCTAGTCGGGGCGATTCCTATCACCACCAGCAAAACGATCCTGATTGTCACCATGCGTGAGGGTCCCACACTTCACGGGACAGTTCTTACCACCGCGAAGGTCGTGAAAATACCCCGCACCTTTCATGGCCATCGCACTCCTCTAGCTTGCGTGTGTCAAGAGTGGCCGAAACCGCCGGTCGAGGCGAAGGAGAACCCGACCTCCGGACTTTCCTCAACCGTAATCGCGAGGGTCGAACTCGCATGGGTGAAAGCAATCCCCAAGCGGCTCCATTGCCGCAAATTGAGGAGTTACAGTGAGCTCTAGACAGACTGCGAGCTCAGCAAAATGAGCAGGGGCTAGTGGCATCTACGTCCCCCTTCTCTACCGAAGTGTTAGTCGCTCGTCTCGCACCAGGATTCGGGATGTCCGACATGTGGGCGTTTGATGGGAACTCCAACCCGCAGGATCATTTGTATGAATTTAACGACCTGATAGAGCTTCACCAGGTCTCAGATCTAGCAAAATGTCGTTGTTTGGTAGTGACTTTGACCTCCCATGCCAAACGGTGGTTCAGGTCGCTCCCAGCGGGATCGATCAGTTTGTGGCCTCAAATGAGCGTGACGTTCCTAAGGCATTTTCAAGCAAATCAAAAGTTCTCAATGCCTTTGAGCTACCTTAGCAATATAAGGCAAGAAATGGATGAATCCCTCCAGTCCTACATTGACCATTTCCACAGAGAGCTCAACAAGGTGGCTCATACTCCTAAAGAGTCTGTTCGGACTCTTGTCATAGCCAGAGTCTGTCCACATACCGACCTGTGGAAAGAATTACGGGCTGAGGACGATGTTTCCCTCACTAGATTCTATAATCTCGTAGAGAAGTACCTCCGAATAGAAAATTCAATGGCAGCTCTCCGCCGTCGTGACCACGGCACTTCGGTCAGTGCACCTGATCGGCAGGATAGTAGAAGAGCTGATCGAAGGGGGGACGCAGACGA